TTCGACCAATTTCTTTGAAGTTCATTCGATGTTTCATGGTAAAACAAATTAAAAATCAGAAGAAATCTGAGTGGGCCAATAATTTCATATTCAAGATATAATCGCTTACAAGACTCAAATTAACAGCCGGAATTGGTTAAGACAAAATAAATGGTTAGCTGCAAAAACAACGACATTTTCGATGATATCGATATAGAAGCAGATATATTTGAATATGTACAGAATTTTAGGTTCCTAAGGTCTGCGATAACTCGCAAAAACAAAATCGAAGAAGTAGAAGACGGAAATGCTTGTTATTTTACTTTATCAAAACTACTTAGTTCGCGCCTCTTTTCCCGAAATTTAAAGACTAGAATTTACAAAACTATTATCCTTCCTTCGGTTCTTGATGGATAGGAAACGTGACCGCTTACATTAAGGAATGAACAAAGCCCTTAAGGTTTTTGAAAATAAAGTGTTGCGCAATATATTCGGACTAAGAAAAATTTAGGTGGCTCAACCGGAGAATTTAAGCGGTCACACAACGCTGAATTGCACGAACTGAGGCGAAAAAAATGGCCATGTAAGATCGCTAGGCTTTGTAACGAAAGAATCCCTAAAAAATTAATATGCGCTGTGCCGACTGGCAAGCATCCGAAGGATAGACCTAAGCGAAGGTGAGAAGATTGCGTTAAGACTGGAGGGGTAGGATTTAGAAGGAGTCCGGTGGATGGAAGAATGTGGGCACTGAAACTTCGGGTTTGTTAGGCCTTATTATTATTATTACATCGTTGTTAGAAATTAAAATGAAATCCTGAACATAAAAAATATAAATTTATATTGACATAATATAAATAGTGAATTCAATAATTTGTTTTCAAAAAGGTTTTTGTTTTATTGTCATGGCACAATATCTAATCTTTATTACCTTCTTTTACAATTTGGTTGCTTTTTAAATTAAATACGATCATATTTTTTATGACATATTATATTGTATAGATATCCCATTTTTAAAGCATATCATACGGCATATTTCAGTGGATTTCGTGGGGTATAATTCCGGACCTTAATTTTTATTATTGAATGAATGTTGTATAATTGAATAATGTTATAATTACAAGGAAAGATGGTGTGTTAATCTTCTAAAAGTTAGTCAAGAAATTCAGATTTTTTTTTAAGCTCTGAGGATGTTTTCTCACGTTATATAAAAGCGTAAAAGGGGGCGGAATCAGAGGTTGTTGAAAAAATACGCGAGGACGAGAATAAGCCAGAGGTGATTAGAATGGCTCAAAGAGAGAGGGACCCAGTTCATGCATAAAATGGATTCAATTTCTGAGGGTGGAGCAGGTACCTCCATCTTATTTACAACCCATTTCGTCTGGTCCTTGGTTTGGGTCTGCTATACCACACCCTCCTGCTCCCTGTCGTCAGGGGGCTTTGAACACCTTTGGTAAAACAACATAAAGAGTTTTCCATAGTTGGGTTGCCAATATGATTGAAAAATGTTCACCTTATTTCTGAACTTTGACTATGTTATTTTTATTCCTTAATGGTTTCCTAGTTTTTATATATTTTTTCCGAAAATTATCCCTTTCAATTTGAATCGAAAGTTAATAAGAAAGCATTTTATGTCAGTTTCACAATGGAGCAGTTAGACCATTTAAAGGACGAAATGAGTATATTTTTGTGGGCTTATAAGGAAAAAAATATTCTTGTATCAGACCCTATTGGCAACATAGCTCGTGACGGGTGTATCTTTAAGGATCCAAATCAAAGAAATAACAAACAAATTAGTAATTTAAAAAACAATATTTTATAGTAAAAAGTATTCTTTCATCATGTCTTTAATTATTGAAGATGATGATTAGGGAAGGTGAGGGTTGTGTCTAACAAACAACACAGCTCCTTCGTCCTCCAGAATGGGAGTTGGCCATAGGGCTAATAACTCTATCCCATAAAAAAAAAAAGGATAGAGATCTCTGCAAAAGGTCTCTGCATACCATTCTCCTTGGATATCTATATAAGAGAACCAAACGATCATAGGAATCCCCTAGAACAGCCCCAATGCTGTGAGAAGACTAATGGCGGAAGCCAAATAAGACAAAAGGCGTTAAAAAAAAAAAAAAAACTTTTTAATGATGAAAAATTATTTTCGAGAATAAACAAATTTAATATCATAATATAATAATAATAGTTTAATTGAGGAAACGCAAACCTACGGTGTATTGTTAAACAATGAGAACTACTCAAATTTAATCTCAAACCGGATCTTGGTATAATTGCAGTTTTAATGTCTGCGAAGATTAATAAGTTTTCCCTTTCACTAATAATAAATTAGTGGATTGTAGAAGTGCACTTCTACATAAATTATAATCAAATTATGCAAAAGCAAGATATAAAATAAAATAATGATTCGAAAATGATGTAAAAAGGCAAAAATGTTGCCATGGTTGTGGGAGTGATAAAGGTTTGCAGAAATGTGTACAGCCTAGATTATTTTAGAAACTACTTTTAATTTATTTAATTCACAACATGGTATTATCATAAAACTCCGGACCTTAATGATAATTAATATATGAAAACAAGTAATGGGACTAATATCTTTAATGAAGTATAGTCTCATTTCATTGCTTCCTTTTTAGAATAAAAATTAACTTATTCCATCACAAGGATATACCGTAGAGTAAGAGCGCTCACAACGAAACTTCTATTAAAGTGCAAAATCTAAATTAGAAAACTAGTTTAAACATAGATTTTTTGAGCTTGAATGTAACTTTTGTTTAGGTAGAGGTAAGGATAGATTTATTGTTGACCAGAGAAAGTAGAAGCAACGACTACCTAGAAAAAATTTTCCAATAGAGTAACATGATTAATTTATACTATAAAAACTACTAAAGACTATAAAAACTCAAGAACTTATCATGATAAGTGTTCAAATGAAAAATGAAGAAAATATTTTTAAAAAAAGTTAGTAACCATAAATCCAACTTACAAGAATCCCCCAACAGTTTCGGGCCACCTGCTTAGATCCACTATCAGATGAAGAAGACTGCCGACGGATTGTATCTCCCGATCAGTCGTAAAGTCGATCATTATCGGCCGACATCTTAGGTTCCGCCTCACGGGAGCCGAAACAAAAAAACAGAAGAGCGGATAGGAGGGAGGGGGTAGCAAAATAAAAAAGGTACAGTCCAAAAAAAGACGGACGTTGGTTCTAATTAAAAACCTACATCTACCCTAACCGCTGGGGACACATTGGGCCTTGGGAACGTATGCCGTATCCTTCCGGGTCTTGTAGTTCGGCTGTTGTGTTTGCCCATGTGTGGGGGGAGGGGGTGCATGTGTCTGTCAGCATGTACAGCGAGGAATACCTGGAGTCGAGGTATCTGTACTGTAAAAGGATCTGGTAGATATTAAATATGAAACGAACAGTGATACTCGTACATCGAATCGAAAGGCAAATCTGTAAAAGAAAGATTGGATTCTCATAAAATCTCATGGAAATGTCGACTTCAATAAGTTCCAAATTTAAAATAGTAATGGGGTATAACTTCAAAACAACCTAGTAAACAACAAAATGTACAATAAGAGACAGAACACAATGTTTCACAGACGTGTTCTTATTTTGGATATAAATAATGGATTTGCAAGATTCGAAGGTTTAGGCGGGTTTCAGAACCTAGAACCCGCTGGTTTATCCTACAAATGGAGAATAAGATAACTGAATGAGCTAAAGCAGAACTACCAAATATAAAATAAAAAGTAAGGTGAGTGGTTTAGATCACACAATAGACTTGAATACATCAACAATGCAAGATTTTTAAGTTTCTGAGATATTCACATCTATATCTTCCATAAAAATCATTATCGTTTGGTGTTTGACCCTATTTTTTGTTTTTCTCCTCTCTAAAACGACTACGCGTTAAGGTACGATTTTGACTAATAGCCCATTTTAGAGCGGATGAAATTCCGAATAATTCCCTCGCTTACAGTATGCAGGTCCAATTTTTGATTTTTGATGTATTTTAGTCTACATGCAAACACATTTCAATTAGTCAAGTCCAGTCAAATTTACTCGAGCGTTACAGATAGGAAATCTGACGGCTAATTCACAACTCTAATTTACTCTCTACAAAAAAAGTAAAAAACGCGCCTAAAGAAATTTTCACTTCAAAAAAATGATGAGACGAACAAACCCAATCCTTAGGACACACGTTTCTCCTACACGTTTATTTTTACAATATCTTTTCTGACGTAAAAATATAATCATGATATCGAATATGAATAGCTGATAAGATGACGTTCTAGGTTTCAAAGTTTTATTGGGATTTCTATAGTCTGATAAAACTCTGAAAATTTGGAAAAGTTGGGTCAGGGCAGAGTTACTGACATCTAAAATTTATTTTTTAGTAGAAAAAAAGGCCTCTTCAATCTTAATAAATAATTACTTTATTTCAAATTTATCCAAATTTTTGTCTCTTCAACCATATTCAGGGATAATCTGATTTTACATTTAATTTAAATTTTCATCTGAATACAACATATAAAAAATCCTACAGAGGATTTATTATTAGACACTACGACATTTATAATACCATAATAACCTTAGAAACAATATATACCAGACAACAATATGTATATACATAAAAACTTACTCGCTTATAGCAGTGCACCTACTTGCACACTTAGTCAAAGAACACAACTGAATACATTTTCTACTAATACTTATTATAGTTACTTCCCCAAGATTATATTTTATGAATTTTTTTTTTACTCCTATTTCGCTTTTTTAACTAAACGGAGTTTTAGTACTAGCTCATGTCGAACGTAGATAAAGGTTGAAAGTGCATTGGGATATTTCTTTTGAATACGAAATTAGTGAGGAAAATCTCCAAAACCTTCCGAAGTAAGCGTTTGATTTTTTCTAGGAGAAAGTTGTTATGGCACAGCCATATATATAATAAACGTGTAAATCTCATTTCTAAAATATAAGTTAAATTATATAATTAGTGTATCGATTGCTGAATGGACCTTTTTAAGGGTTCGAATGGGAAATGTTTGAGTATCGACTATTTTCATTTTTTACTCTGCTCACACCTCTTAATTCATGTTCATTGAACTGTAATTTTTCATATTCATTGGATTGTATCCGTTCAGCCATGGTCAAGATAACCAAAAAGATTATGTTCATCACCATGTTTGGCGAACATATGTTGCGAAGGAAAAAGAGAAGTGAATCCGACTTAAATCGATTGAATCGAGCTCTTTGCGTTCAGTTAGTGCTTAGTGAACTTAGTGTAGTGAACTATAGTTGTAGTTTAAGTAGGATGAACTTCATCAACACCCTGTTTCATATTATTGGGGCATATTTGACCAGGTTAGAAAAACTGTATAGTTCCATTAAGTTAGATTTAGCTCCTTTTCAAATTTCAGAAACTAATTTGAAATCTTTTGTTGTCAATATTATTATTATACGTAGCACATTGTGGTTTTATCTCTATTATGAAAAAATAAATTACTTATAGTCTAAGCTACAAATAATCAAACGTAGAACGTAGAACATAATATAATATTCTCAATTCAAGATCGCACATATCCAAAATCCAAGAACATCAGTTACTTTAAATTAGAAATCAATATAATACCTGCCTAAAAGGCAATGTTTAACAAGATTCCAAGGTATATTTATAACACATACATTATTTATAGGAAGGTTATTTTCAAATCTTTCTAATAATTTTGAGTTGATTAACACAAGAACATATGTACTTATACTTTTGATCAACTTAACAATTATTAGCATGGCATTGGTGTGATAATACATAAACAGGCACTAATACTAATGCCAGTTTTTTTTTTCTAAATAGATATCAATTTAATATTAAGAGTTTAAAAATAAATTTAAATTCCTTAAATTTTACGTAATTGATAACAGTGAAAAATGGGCTTGTTACTGTTAAATAACCACTCATTTATTATATATCACTAAAAAAAAAACATAATAAAAACTGCTACCTAAACTTTTTATGAGATCGTTACTACTATTTTTAAATGATACTTTTAACTGTTATTAGAAGTAAGAAGTAACCTTTGTAATATGCAAAAAATCTAACGAAGAAGAATACCCTGATGAATGAAACGGATTTTAATAACGGAACCCAATCGAAAAAACTTTAAAAAACAAAATGTGAAAAAAAAATTTAATTAATTATTGAAGGAAATTCATCTACTGTTCTACGTACCATAGATGATAAATAGTCAGGATACAGTAATTTTTAAGATTTTTGTTGGTCCGACGTTTCAACCTAAAGGTGTGGGTTATATTCAGGGCGTTTTGCACTGAATGTGTTCAAATACTTGAATAAATAAAATAAAATAAATAAATAACTTAAATATTTATAGCCTACATAATATATTACAAATTAATATATATATATATTTTTTTTTATCAGTATTTTAAAATCTTCAGTGCTCGAACACTACCTGATGACCCAATTTCTTGGGTTGAAACGTCGACATAAATGAAAACCTTAAAAATGACTGCGTCCTGACTATTTATCAGCTATAATAAATTTAGTAATATTTCCTTATTCAAAAGTAGATGTTATTATTTTTTTCAACAACATAAAAATCAAACAACGGTGGTATTAATTAATATTCAATTATATAAATTAGGACATTAAATATTAAAATAAATGATTGTGTATTTATGCTTAAACAAATAAATAAACCCATGGTGAAATGTAACTTTAGATGGAAAATGGTTCCCGATCTAAGTAAAAATATTACAAATTAGTATATGTATATATATCTTTCTGCTGCTTTTCCAATCTTTTTTAAGAAAATTTTTAAGTAGACTTAATTAATAACACCGATTCATTCGAATAAGTCCGATGAATAAAATTATTATAACCGTACTCTCTCCTTTTCTCACATGGAAATTTTTACAGAATAGCATTATTTAAATAGGTACTTCAGTTTCAAACTATAGCAGTTATTCTTCGTTCTACTTCTTTTTTTTTTTTTTTTACTGTATTGAACACCAACGACAAAACCAGCATTGCCGTTTCAAATATTAAATTCAAAATTCTGATTACAGAATGCTGCTGCCAGATGTAGAGAAAATGGTAAGGCTTGCTGTAGCAATCCTCACATTATACTTGCCACTGGTCGCAGTCGGTGGAACATTTTGTTTTCTCACCGGAAGCGACGTGGAACAAGCAATAACGTCATGTAAGTCAACATTACCCCCAATAAATTAAGGGGGGGTGAGAAATTTTAAGTTAAAATACAAAATAATATACTGATGCTATTGAAAAACAAAAAAAGATTCTGCAAATAACTGCAATACCAATACATTACTAATATTGTAATTTATGAATCAATTGGAAAATCAATAATTAATATATTTAACAGAAAAATTAATCATACTGTTCTTTCTAAGGTTAATTACCAACACAAAAAATTTTTGAATTTATTATAAATTAATTATTTTTTTTTCTTTTTATTTCAGGGTATACACAGAAAATAATGGCAACGTACAATGTATTTTACGAAAGGGATGAAAAATCCATCGACACACCGTCCTGATAAAAATATGTGATATTATTAATTATTACAGATAATTAAGATTGCGATATCGAACAATAAAAATAAATTATGATAATATAATTTACTAAGCTTACCTTAATGTCTAGATGTTTTGTTTCTTTTCCTGTGTATTCTGAAAAAAAAATTATATTAATATATTAAAAACTAATATAGGAAGTTATAATTCAGGAAAAAAAACACAGGCTTTTAATAGTTTTAGTTTTGAATTATTCTTATAATACATTAAAACAATAATAAATGAAGATATGATATGATGATTAATATGTTGTTTTTTTATCGCTTCTCCTCGTAAGGGAGAAGTTTGATTCCATCTACTCACTAGGTAATTTCTAGAAAGTTTTATATAACTATATAAGATTTAATATAATATATTTGATTATTAACATTCAATTTAATTATTAACATTAGATACAATATATAAATTTGTCAAATATTTTCTAAATTTAGTTTAGATGATCTGAACTTTATATATCGAAATGATATTTCATATTTATTTTGTAACATACACAATACGATAAATTAATTAAACATTACAAAAAATATTCACTTTATTATTTTATAGTTTTGATCTTTCTTCATTAATTATTTTTTCACATTTGATCTTCATTGATATCTAACAAAATAAACACTCTTAAATTTCAAGTTTCATCTTAAAGTGTTTTCTTTATTTGGACGTTTTAAGAGTTCTTTTTTTTTAGTAGGGAGTATAAACTAGACCTTTGGGAAAAAAATGAAAAACAAAAAGATTAAACTTATTATGAGTCATGAAATATACTTATAGTCATTGATGGTTGAACTAAGGAGGAGTGAGGAACTCTTATAATAGACAAGGCCTGAGTACTACAGACATTTAACAATTCAATAATTTATTTGTTAAAAAGAAATAACAATACAATTATAATCACACTTTCTCACAAAAGAGGAAGTAGAAGAAATAAAACTGATTTTTTAAATAAATACCTAAAAGATCAAGTTTATTTATTAATGTTCACTAAATAATTAAGTTGTTTTAGGAATTCTGCAAAAGGGTGTGGTATTGATTGAAAAAAAAAAAATAGTTTTGTTAGTCAGGAAAACAGAAAAAAGAAAAAGATTTAGAGATGTCTGGAACATATCAATCGAGCAGGAAGATAGTGATGGGATAAGTAAAAATTATAATTGTAATATCAAATGCGTGCAGTCGGAAAAAAATAAATGACCATTGGCAAATACGGAAAAATGACGAGCTCTATGAGCTGTAGCCACTGTCAAAAGGAGCCGGCTCAGATTGCTGGGCCGTGTAGAGAGAATAGAGGAGCGAGAATAGGTTGCCTAGGAAACTTCTCTATAACCGTCCAGCAGGAACTCCCGGAAACCCGTCTTAGGAGAAAACCCCGGCTGCGGTGGATCAAGGATGTGGAGGAGGACCTCAGTCGCATGGGTATCAGAAGATGGTGAAGAATAACTGCCGATAGGGAAGCAGGGCAGAAGATTGTTTTTGACGCCCAGGTCCATTAAGGATTGTAGAGTAAATTAATAATAATAATCAAATACATATCATTAATTTACGCTAAATAAAATGAACTACATATGTAACCTATACATCGATGATTGTTCTTTACTCAGATATCGTTATTCCATTACAAATATAGTCCATGCATAAACATGAATGAGAGATTATCTCTCTTCGCGAATACTCAACATTAAGACTAATTAAAATGTCAAGAACAAAATTAAATAAAAACATTGCAGCCAATATTTACAGGCTTTTTAATTACATTTGAAAATGAAACTGGTTTTAATGAACCACTATTATAATAAAATACTATTCGATGCTGAATAAACGAGCTGTCACAGATAGCTACTGCTTCATAACAAGAGCGCTTATAAAACGGAAAGGGACATACGCAAAACAGGCGGAAATAAAATTAGCCTGGAAATCTAAATAACCGCTATAACAAGGGACCACAATTAGCCGACTCCCCGGACGGGGAGAACATATTTTAGCAATCGAATAAATTAACGGGGCCACCGCGCGATTTGAATTTATGAATCGGTTGGGAGATGGGGGGCCAAATTGAGCCTTGTCGAAGGCCAATTGAAACAGGGGCCGCCATATAATGGAGCGATGAAGGGTTGCCAGTAATTGCCGGGGCATCATAACCGCCCCTTGTAAAATTACCAACTACCCTTGTAAGGAGGCCGCCTTTAGCATAATGTGCCCGGGGGTACCGCCTCATCTTCTGTTGTGGTTGGTAAGGAACCCAAGGTGCTCCGAAGTACCCTCTGCCTCCTCATAGCTGCGGTTGAGGGGTGGGTTTGTGGTTTAGGAGAGAAAGAAATCTTTTAACGAATAAGTAGTCCGATTCGAATAAGTAAACCTACCGAACTCAACTAATTTATAATTAACCAAAGGAACATATTAAAAAAATGTATAAACTCAAAATTTCTGTAAAGTGAATTATTAAGTATAAATCAGCTTACTTCCACGCTAAAGATTTGCTCGCAAATTTGCTTACTTTAGCGAACAGATAATTCAAAATATTATGTTTAAGGCCAGGATTTTTATGTTACAAAAACATTGAATTGTAAAAAAAAAAACGGTTTTCCTGTGAGTTTGTGGTAAGGAGTTGTATATTTAGAATATTTTAGTGAGAAAGTTCAAAAACTTGCCTTAGACTAACGAGGAAAGTTACTGCGCTTCGAGATACGACAATTACTTCAAAGTGTTACGCATTTGAACTTTCGGTCACAAATATTATTTATATTGCCATCTTACATCGCCAGCTCATAAATCAGATTTTGAGCAAATAAGCATTTTTACAGAGATTTAGGATGACTTGTTTCATATAAATATCGACACCTATGCAATTGCGTTCAAACCACCTTATTTATATTAGATTATTTATGCCTTATTTATAACCTTAAATAAAGTTACTTTAGATTTAATATCTATGGCACTAAAATAGATTTTTGTAATAACTTTTTGAAGTGAAAACTTCTTTTGGCACGTTTTATACCTTTTTTTGTAGAGAGTGAATTAGTCAGATTCCGAAGAGTAACGCTCGAGTGAAATCAGCTGGAATCGATTAATTGAAGTGTTTTTGTATATGGATCAAAATATTTTAAAAACTAAAAAATCTGATCTACATATTGTAAGCGAGGGAGATGTTCAGCATTGTATATTAATGAGGTCACCGTTTTAGAGAGGCAAAAATAGAAAATAGCGTCGAAAACCAAACGATAACGAGTTTTATTGAAGATATAGATGAAAGGTTGTGAACTAGAGGATGGGGGCGACCAAAGAGTTTGGAATTAAAAGAGGAATATCTAGTTCCGGACCAAGTCTTCAACAATAGGAATAGTGAGATCTTTATGGATAATTTTATTTATGACATAATAAGGAGCATTTAGTATTTTACGGAGGATTTTGGATTGTAAGAATTGTATAAAAGCTCAATTCCAAAAGTCCAAATGGGCCTGATGATGGTAGTGTAAAAGAATTTTTTTTTAGAATATTGGAAGTTGGGAGCGTTGGTAAGTAAATGTTGAAGTAGTCGGAATCTGTTGGCTGTTTCTTGTCTTTAAAGTCTAGTATGAGGTTCCAAGTAAGGCGTTTGACAAAAAGGAGTCCTAGGAACAGATTTGTTCGACAGGGAATTCATAATTTATATTTTATACTATTAATCTAGCCTTGTTTATGTTTTCACTTCTATCGTGTGATCTAAAGCACACACCTTAGTTATTGTTTTTTTTTTTTTTCAGTAGAAGTATTTACTTAAAATAGGGTAGTAAATGGAAGTTTTGAGATAACAGTCGCTCAATTTTTCCTCTTTTGTATTCCTCGAAGTCCAAACTTTATCTATACTTAATCAAGCGGAGCATACTTAGAATTAGCGATAATTCTGCAGAGGAGAGACAGCTGTAAGAGCGCCTAGAGTGGCGGAGGGTATGCAATGACAGAGGAGCGGGGCGGATGGGCGGGTAGCGGCAGCTGCCCCTAACGACCAGCCAGCAAGGAGCCCCGGGCCGGATTAAGTTATTAAACTGATTTAGTACAAGTGCCTCACTCGGCTCTAATAACCATCAAAACTACCATCAAGAGCATAAATTCAACACCAATATCCCCGCTCCATGTATTATTTAAGAAATTCCTAAGGAGGGGGCCACCTTATATACTTCAAACCGTCTTAACTATTTACTCTCCATTAGCTAAGGTAACACTAATTGTTCCACATTGTTTTATTTTCCAACACGCCTTAGCGAAAGTGGAATTATTTAAGTATAGGAAGAAAAAAAAAACTTCAGAAGATGTATATAAATAACAATACTTCCAATAAGATCCCATCAAAAATAAATCAAAATGAGGAATCGAAGACAGGCATTACACCTTTTAAGGAATATTGAACAAAATGATGTAGACAAAAATAAATTATCTACCATAACTCATTTAATATAAACTAGTAACCCCCGTGCGAAAAATTCGCACAGCATATTGTTATCAAATGTCAGATTAATAAGAAAATAAAATAACAACCTATCAAAAGATAAAGAAATCAAACGTTACTTTATCGATAAATATAATCGACAAAGAAAACAAAAATTAATTTAACTCTTCATCTTTGTTTGGAACCAACATGTTTACAAATTTCAGTAAGCTGTATCTTTGCTAAAAATTGTCCGATTTCGATGATTTTTCTTTTCATTTGTAGGAAATTTATATAATTTATAACGGAAAAGTGTTTAATTTTTAAGTTTGTTTTCTTTTATAACTTTTTTGCCTGAATTTCCGGGATGATTGGACTGTTTTGTCTGCCTGAAAGAGAAGGAAGCCTTCGAAATAGGTGGCTTAATCTTGACATTTGGTGAAAAATTGACGATGATATGGCTTGCCGATCAAAAACACCATCGATAAATAATATAAACTCCTCCTCTCTCGATCATAGAGACCTCAAATCGACGAAATGAGACATGTATTCAATTACAGTACTACAATTAATGTAAGGTTGTGTGGATGCGAACCCTATGCCTTGCGTTATCTCGAAAATAGTACGCTTTTGGGCTTAAATCCGGAGGAACTATCCGAGTCTTGCTGTACGCATCAAAATCTTCTAGATCCAA